GGCTTCGCGTTATGAGGCAGCGCCAACCGCACCACGTGACCCCGCGGTGGGCGGGGCGAGAGCTGCGTAGGGCTTGCGTAATCGGACTGCGCCACCAGAGCCACGTGACCCCGCCAGGCCCAGCCGAGCGGTGAGCTTTGGTGCCACCGTGTGGCAAACGCGGCTGAGGCTCGGGGCTACGCTGAGACCAGTCCTCGCGAGAGCCCGGCCAACTCGCTCCGCTCCCCGCCCGACCTCTGCGCGCGCTGCGGCCCCTCCCGCAGTATCCCCCAGCCCCCACCACGGCCCCTCCCGACCGGGGGCCGGGCTAACACCCAGGGGACTGGAGCACGCCGCTTCCTAAGCCCCGTGCAGGGCCCACGGCCCACACACCGGGCATCCTCTACCTTCTGGTTCACCTGCAGCGACCCCGCCCCCCCAAAAGCCATGGCTATTCCTGTAGAGGGCTAGACTTGTCCAGGCCCAGAAACCCGAGACGACAAACCTGCGGTTTGTTGCGGGACTAGGCTCCTTGGCGCCAGGTGCGGGCTGCAAGGGCGCAGAGGCCAAATCCACCAACATTGCTACGCTTACCGCACTGGCCATGGCCCTCCTGTCCACTTCCCGGGGCAGGACCTCCCGAGGTGAAGTGCGGTGAGCCGGGGAGAGGGCTGGAGGCACGGCAGAACCTGCCACCTTCCACAGAAGCCGGGGGGTGGGGAAGCGCGCGGCAGTTCTTCCCTCCCACACTGGAAAGCAGCTCCTGGAGGAGCTAAAACAGGTGCAAGGGGAAAGGCCTTAGAAGAAACACCTGTAGCACCGCGTGACCTGCTGAAATCTGCTTCCAGGAGTTAACCCTTTCACAGATAACCATGGAGGTCAGCCCTAGGGTAGTTGGGCTCCTTTCCCTGTTTGGAGTGGCCTGGTGGACATGAAAGCCCCAGGACCATAGAACTAGGGTGGTAAGCTGAGAGAGCTCCATCTCCTAAGATTTCTTGCTCCAACCATGGATTTTTCCAGCGTCTTTCATGGGCTCAGGACACTGTGCTTGAGATCTTAACTCACCTAATTCCCCTCAGGTAAGTCTTGGCCTGAAGTGGCTTCACCTGGCTTTCTCCTGAGATACGGTGCTGCCAAACACTCGAGGAACTGACAGGCTGTAACGAGGCCCTCACGTAGGCAAACTGAATTTAGGAAGTGCACAAAAGAGAAGGTCTGAGGGCTGAGCAAGTCCTTGGAAAGAACTGTTTCTGAGTCCTTCCTTTCAGGTGGTCTCTGCAGGTCCAAGGAGCCAAGATGTTTCCATCGAGCCACAGCTTGTGCTGACAACTGGGTTTCCCAAGCACCAACCCCACAGAAAGCAGCTAAAAAAACAGATCTAGGGACACTCTGGGGACAAGCCTCGAGAACCTCAACTGTTACGACTCCTGTTGTGTAGACGAAGGGCAGCCTCTCACTGGCTTTTTTGTACAAACTGGCCCCTGCTGGTCTTGCAAAACCCCAATGAAGCCTGTGACTGACAGTAGACCACAAACTCAGATGAGCAAGCCGATGGCGAGATCTGGACAGTGGAGAACCAGCCAGGCCAAGAGCAACTTTAGAAATGTGACAGTACTGAAGTTACTGAAGTCATTGTCGTAGAAAACCACTGTTTGGATGCAAGTCCCTCCCTTGTACATCAGATTCAACCCCCTGTGCCTCCCAAGAAGTTGTGCAGCTTCCAGCCTGTCACGAGGATAAGCCAGTCACTGTGGCCTGGGGAAATCAAACCCAGCTTTCTCCTGGGGCTCCCACCAGCCCCAGGCCGAGTCCCACCCTGGTATCTCCAGCACTGTGATGGCCAAGGCACAAATGTGAATGTACTTGAAAACTCTTTGTTAACTGGAAAGCGTAAATCGGTGGGATCTTCACTGGGAGTAAGCCCCTATTTCAGTATTCACTTTCACTCTCCAAGGACAGCTAGAAATTTTCTCCCTTTAATAAAAAAATCCAACACACTTTGAAGTCCCAGAGAAAACCAGCAACAGAAGGAAGTGACCCCCCTCCCCAGGGCGCTGGAGAGCCAGCATCATCAGGAAAGCTCCAGGCTTCACACCTGACATGGTCAGGAGCCGGCCTAAAAAATAAATTACAAAACGCTGTTTGGGGAAGTCAAAGCTGAACCGCTTCTTTCCCTCAGGTGCAGCAGGCATCAGCGACTACAAATCAGTCCGTGAACTGGCTGCCTTGGGGGCGTATTTAGGCATCAGTTCGTTAATCTTCCGGATGTAGTCAGACTTTTCTGCACAGCCTTTGCACGTCTCCCCCCAGTCGTCCAAGATCTTCTTTAGCTCTTTAACTCGAAGCTTCTTCAGGTCCACTGTGCTCAGGTCAATCTGCTTGTCTGGAGGAGAGCAGCAGAGTTACCAGCTGGGCGGGGGTGGCCACAGACCCCCAGCAGTCCCAGGCTGGATCCCCCTGCACAGCCAAACCACCCCTTAAACAAGCAGCCCTACTGGTTGTGGGGAGAACAGTTCCAGACACACACAGGTGTGTCAGTGCCCATGCCCCCGAGAGGAGGAAGTTCGCCCCTTCACCAGGAAGGCTGGTCTCATGCCAGTGTCCATCAGATACGCAATGTCGCCAGGGACAGGGGTGGAGGTCACATGGTCCTTAACAGGAGGAATATGGCTCCTACTTCTCTAAGTGCCTCTTAAATAGTCAAGGTAAAGGTCAAGTTACTGTAGAATGACAGCTCCAGGGTGACAGAGCAGATAGATCCCCCAGCCCCCATTTCCCAACACAGCCCTGATCAGGCCCCAAGTCAGGAGCTTACTCCCCATGACTACTTGTGACCACAGAGAGACCTTGGACCAACTGCACCTCTCCCAGGATCACTCTCAGAAATCCAATCATCCTTGTCACAAGTGGGTGAACACAGGCCTTTGGACACTCAAGTCACAATAAAATAGGTTGGTGACGCTGAAATTTTAAAGAGGACAACTATTCCTGGCCCTGACTCTTTTTTCCACCAGAGACCTACTCAGCAGGACATGCCGAGGCGCCCTCAACTCCTCGCCTGCCTGTTTGGTCGCACTTCTTCTTTTCAAAAATGTAATGGTTGCTGGGCCTTCGGAGCCTGCAGCCAGGAAAGCCTGTTAAACCCAAGGGAGGTCAGACCACACCGCTCCTCTGCCCTCAAACCAATGTCGCCCACTTCACTCAAACAGCCAGATCTTCCTTCACCAACCTGCAAGGCCCTCCATGACCAGCTCACCCATCTGTCATGCCACTGGCTGCCTTTGCACTGCCGATTTCCTCTGTCTGGAATGTCCTACCTCCTTCAAAGTTTGCTGAAATGTCACCCCAACGAGACCGGTTTTGACCTCCACCCAGCACGACGCCAGATCCGCACCTCCCCCCCCCCCATTTAGCACCATCTGCTACATTCAGCTATACATCACAACAGCTCTAGTTTAATCCCAGCTTGAAGGCAAACCCCACAACACCTGAGCACAGAGGGCGCACGGACGGGGCCTGTGAAGTAGGCCTGGCCACACTCACCATACTTCAGCTCACAGATCTGGCTATCTTTCTTCTTCAGCTTCTCACAGATCTTCTCCACAGGGATGTGGTGGGCAAGCGGCTTCGACACCTCGTTGATGATCTTTGTGGCAGCATCATCTGTGGCCCCAATGTAGTAGCACTACAGCAAGAAAGGACAATGGCCTTCAGGAGGTGCCACTTGAGAGCAGTCTCCTCCAAAACATACTGACATCTCAAAACATCTTCTTTCTCTGCGAGGTTTCCATTTTCCCAGGCCTCGCCTGTCCTGGCAGTTGGTGCAAGCCCCACGCTCTTAATACATGCTTGGTCCCAGAGCTGGTAGCCACCAGATGAGTTTTAAGAGTCACCAGGGTTCAAACCTTTAAACAGAGAGTCAGACAAAACCAGACTGCCAAGGAAATTAAAACTATAAAACCCATCGTTTCATTGGGGCTCCTGCCCTCCACCTGACCCTGGCCCACCCTGTGCATACTTTATCATCTTCTGTCCTCACACATGCCAAGCTCATTCTAGCTCCTGGGCACTCCCACTGGCTGTCCCCTCTGCCTGGGATGCTCTTCCCCCACCACATGACGACCGTTCCTCAGAGAGATTCTTGACTACTCTGCACTGTCCCCTCTACTGTACCATCCGCTTTCTTCATGACACCTGCCCCACTGCATCATTTCTTTGCCTGGTTGTCTTTTCTCCCCTGATATTCCCAGTGCCCAGCAAAGAGTAGGTGCTTGGTTAACACAAACAGGGTAAAAAATATGTCAACTGCAGAGAACGCACTTCTGGCATGACTTCACCGACAGCACTCACTCAGGACTCCTGACCAGACAAGTGGCCAGGGCCTTTTATCCAGGCCTGTGAGGCAGAGGGTTAACCGCTGCCAGCCCCAGCTGGGGAGGGTCACCGGCTACTCACCAAACGGTTCTCTTTGCCTCTTGCTTCGCGGCAGAACTTCACAAGTTCTTTTTCAACAGAGGCTGGTGAGAATGTGACATCTCTGTCTTTGAGGTCCTGGTAAAATCTTCCCAGATAAGAAACACAAACTGCGAGAGAGAGAGAGAGAAGGGAGGCGCTCAGCAATCAACCCGTTGCACCCCAATCCACCAGGAGCTAACTCGGTCAACAGTTTCAATAGGAGGCAAGGAGAGATCAATTTTTCCACCTCTGGTCATCACAGTTGGACAGAACGCAGCTCCTGCTTGCTGGGGTCCCCTGCATGCGGGGAACAAGCACCAACCAATGCCCCCCAAACGGCTCCTCCCTGCTTCTTTCCATAAAGTTTAAGCCCAGACTGAAAGTGGCTTTGAGATGGACTCACTGTGACCTCATAAATGGCAAACTAGAGGCCACAGGAAAGATGAACCAAACGCTGCTTATTTCAAAACACCACACCGGACCCCGAGGTGCGGCTTGGCAACCCCACGGGACCAGGCGCGGTGCCCAGGGCCGCCCTCAGGACTCCCGACCCGAGCCGCTCCC